CATGTAAAAACAACATGACTAAAGCTTTAATCACACAATGAACCCCATACATGATAGGAGACTTAAATGTCCTGTCTCACCAGTGGACAGGACATTCGGGGGAAAAAAAGGAAATGGAGAAATAAGGGAGTTGATAGACATTATGAAACAAATGGACCTAACAGATATCTATAGAACATTTCATCCAAACACAAAAGAATATACCTTCTTCTCAGCACCTCATGAAACTTCCTCCAAAATTGGCCACGTACTCTGACACAAAGCAAATCTCAACAGATACAAAAAAATTGGAATAAACTCCTGTATTCTATCAGACAACCAGAGATTAAAGATGAATTTCAACAACAACAGAAATAAGAAACTTATGTTAAACATAAGCCTACAAACTTATGGAAACTGATCAACTCTCTACTGGACAACTACTGAATCAAGGCAGAGAGAAGGAAAGAAATTAGAGCCTTCCCAGAGTAAAACAAAAATGAATGCAAAACATACCAAACCTATGGGACACAATGAAAGCTGTGCTAAGAGGCAACTTCATAGCACCAAGTACCTTCATAAAGAAATTGGAGAGTTCTCATACCAGTGACTTAATAGCACACCTTAAATCTCTACAACAAAAAGTGGCAAACACACCCAAGAGGAGCAAACAGCAAGAAATAATCAAACTGAGGGCTGGAATCAATGAAAAAGAAACAAAGAGAACAATACAAAGAATCAATGAAACAAGGAGTTGGTTCTTTGAGAAAAGCAACAACATAGACAAACTTTTACCCAAACCAATTAAAAGGCAGAGAGAGAATATCCAAATTAACAAAATCAGAGATGAAAATGGGACATAACAATAGACACTGAGGAAATCCAAAAAATCATTAGGTCATACTTCAAAAATCTGTACTCCACAAATTGGAAAATCTAAAAGAAACAGAGTTTTCTTGAGGGATACCACTTACTAAAGGTAAATCAAAATCACATAAACAATTTAAACAGACCTATAACCCCTTAACAAAATAGAAAGTCATTAAAAGTCTCAAAAAAAGCCCAGGGCCAGATAGTTTCAGTGAAGAATTCTACCAGAATTTCACAGAAGAACTAATACCACCAATACTCCTCAAATTGTTCCACACAATAGAAACTAAAGGAACATTGCCAAATTCTATTTATGAGCTTACAGTTACCCTGATACCCAAAACACAAAGAAAATTACAGACCAATCTCCCTCATGAACATTGATCCAAAAATACTCAATAAAATTCTGGCAAAACAGAACCCAAGAACATGTTTTGTTTTTTTTTTTAAATCATCCACCATGATAAAGTAGACTTCATCCTAGAGATGCAGTGATGGTTTAATATATGAAATTCTATCAATGTAATCCACCATACAAACACACTGAAAGAAGAAAACCACATGATCACCTCATTAGATGCTGAAAAAGCCTTTCACAAAACCCAACACCCCTTCAATATAAAAGCCCTGCAGAGATTAGGGATACAAGGGATATACCTAAACATAATAAAGGCAACTTATAGCAAACAAATGGCCAATATCAAATTAAATGGAGATAAACTCAAAACAATCCACTAAAATCAGGAACAAGACAAGGCTGTCCACTCTCTTCACATCTATTTAAAATAGTACTTAAGTCTTAACAAGAACAATAAGATAACTAAAGGAGATCAAGGGGATGCAAATTGGAAAGGAAGAAATCAAAATACCACTATCTACAGATGATATGATAGCATAAGTAAGCCAGGCCAAAAATTCTACTTGGGAACTCATACATCTGATATACACCTTCAGCAAAGTGGTCAGACACAAGATTAACTCAAAAAAATCAATAGCCTTTCTATATACAAACAACAAACAGGCTGAGAAAGAAATCAAAGAAACAACACCTTTCACACTACCCACAAATAATATGAAGTATCTTGGAGTAACTTTAACTAAGCAAGTGAAAGACTTGTATGATAAAATCTTCATGTCTTTGAAAAAAAGGAAGAAGATATGAGAAGAGGGAAAGATCTCCCATGATCATGGATTAGTAGCATTAACATAGTAAAAATGGCCATCCTACCAAAAGAACTCTAGAGATTCAATGCAATTTCCATCAAAATTACAGCACAATTCTTCACATTTCTTGAAAGGCTAATTCTCAACTTCATGTGGAAAAACAGAAAAACCAAGATAGCTAAAACAATCCTGAACAATGAAAGAACTGCTAGATATGTCACCATTCCTGATATCAAGTTGTACTACAAAGCTGTAGTAATAAAAATTGTATGATATTGGCATAATAGCAGAAACACTGATCAATTTACTCAAATTGAAGACCCCAAAATAAATCTATACACCTATGGACAGCTGATTATTATATAAAGAAGCCAGAAATACATACACAAAAAAAGATAGCTTCTTCACTGAGTGGTGTTACCCAAACTGTATGGCTGCCATCCCATCAGGGAAATTAAATGTAGAACTACTTTGGGATTCCATCTTATACCTGTCAGAATGCCTAAGATCAATAACCCAAGTGACATTCATGCTAACATATGCTGTGGATATCTCTCTATATAAATAAAACACTGATGGCCAGTGACCAGGCAGGAAGTAGGTTGCCAGGCAGGAAGTAGGTGGGACAAGGAGAGAGGAGAATTCTGGGAAGCAGAAGGCTGAAAGGGGAGACACTGCAGCCACCGCCAGGACAAGCAGCATGTGAAGACGCCGGTAAGCCACCAGCCACGTGGCAAGGTATAGATTTATAAAAATGGGTTAATTTAAGATAAAAGAACAGTTAGCAAGAAGCCTGCCACGGCCATACAGTTTATAAGTGATATAAGCGTCTGAGTGATTATTTTATACGTGAATTGTGGGACTGCGGGGCTTGGGGAACCTGGAGAGAAGCCCTCCAGCAACAAACATAGATCTGGAACAAAGAGAACACTACATCATTGATGGAAGTGCAAACTTGTATAATCACTGGGGAAATCAATATGGTGGGTCCTCAGAAAATTGGGAATCAATCTACTTCAAGATCCAGCTACACTACTCTAGGGCATATACCCAAAGGTAGCTCCATCCTACCACAAGGACACTTGCTTAACCATGTTCATTGCTGCTCTATTAATAATAGCCAGAAACTAGAAACAACCTTGATGTCCCTCAACAGAAGAATGGATAAAGAAAATGTAGTATATTTACACAATGGAGTATTAATCACCTGTTTAAAAAAAATGGCATCATGAAATTTTTAGGCAAATGGATGAAGCTAGAAAAAAATCATTCTGACTGAGGTAACCCAGCCCCAGAATGATAAATACGGTATGTATTCACTTATATGTGAATATTAGCTATTAAATAAGTGATAACAAATGTACATCCATAGACCCAGAAAACTTAAATAAAGAGGAAAGGACTGGAGGAACACATGGACCTCCCTATGAGGGGGAAACAGAATAGATTTTATGGGTGGACTGAGGGGTGAATGGGGATCACAACTGGATGATCAGTTGGATAGGGGAAAGGGAGATAAGGTTGAGGGAGAAAATGTGAGGAGAAAAGCTAGAATAGAGGAGCATTTGAGGGGATATATGGAAGCCTAGCGCAGTGGAAACTTTTAAAAAATATATGAAAGCAATTCTAATGAGGGATCCTAATAATGGGGAAGATAGAGTCCCAACTCCTCATCTCTGTCACCAAACGAGGCTTCTAATAGTGGGACAGGGTTACAATCAATTTAGTTGTTGGCCAAGGTGGTCCCATGGAAAACCCCAAACAATCCAGACTATTGCTTATACAATAGGTTGCTCTCCACAAACTGACCTAGGGCCACATTGCCAGGGACAACACCCACACAACTCATTGAGCACTGAGAAGTCCAACTGGTGCCTAAATGGAGCCTTCACCCCATCTTCTAGTGCCTTTGGTGCAGGAAGGTACTCTGCAGGCTACCTAAAGAAAAACATAACCACCAAACTAGCCACAAAGACTTTAACCTACAATCTGTCCTGCCTGCAAGATATGCTAGGGCAATAGTAGCACAGAACTTGTGGAAGTATTCAACCAGTTTCTGATTTGATTTAAGGCACACTCCACAAGACAGAACTCATGCTGGACACTGCTTTGGTGACCAAGAACCAGAGACTAGATATCTTACAGACCAAAGGTAAAGCCAAGCATTACTGGTCTAAAATGACTCCTAATGTTATTCTCCCATACTCATAGATGAGTGCCTTATTAATTCATCATTGGTTAAGCTTCCTTCTGCAGCAAACAAGAACAGATACAGAAACCCAGAGCCAGACATTATGCAAAGAGAGTTTCCTTGGAATACACAGATATAATTGAGATGTCTCTACCAAATCCCTCCACTTCTCTGACTTCTCTTGGGGCTCTTTTTCTTCTGTTGGGTTGCCTAGACCAACCTCAATGTGGTGTATTGGTTTTATCTTATTATATTATATTTTGTCAGGTTTTGTTGTTATCTCTAAAAGACTCTTCTTTTCTAATGATAAACAGAAGGGATTGGATCTAGAAGGGAGGGAAGGTTGGAAGTAGACATAGGGGCAACTGTAATCAGGATATATTGTAGAGGAAAAGAATCTATTTTTAATAAAGGGAAAGAAGCATAATAACTTTATTCTCCCCACAAATATGTATTAACCAAGAGCATCTACACAGTTAAACAAACAAGTACTATTTATTTATCTTAAAAATGGATGGTACAGACATATTTCTAAACCTAATTAAATGTGATAATATATTTGAATATATCACAAGCCAAGATTATCAACTGGCATTCTCAAACAAAATCAGGATTCTGTAGCTAGAGCCATACATGTTGAAGTTTCCCTTGTATTATCTGAGAAATATTGTTTCATACCACCACACAGTTTTCCTATATATTTTTCTTGTCTAGTTTTCTCAGCAACATAGTCTTAAAGTTGAGAAATATAGCTGTTTCTAAACTTTTCATTGCCTGGTTAATTTATGCATCAGAAGAGTTCTTCAGATCTCTTCAAGTTGGAGCCATCTTCTCATCTTCCTATTCAACGCACCCCTCACTTCCTTGTTTCTCAAGGTGTAGATGAGTGGGTTGAGAGCAGGAGTGACCACACTGTACATGATGGCAATGACCCGGTCCTGATCCAGAGAGCTGCCTGAGGAGGGACGGATGTAAATAAAAAGAACTGGAACATAGAGCAGAATAACAACCATGAAGTGAGAAGCACAAGTGGATAGTGCTTTGTGGAGCATGCTGCAAGAACGGGTCTTGAGGAAAAGGTATGTGATAATATAGAAATAGGAGAGAAATGTCAGAAAGAAGGGACTGAGGGCAATGGTGCCTGTCACAGTGTTGAGCAGCCAAAGGTTGATCTCAGTGTCTCCACAGGCCAGATCTAGCAATGGTTTAACATCACAGAAGAAATGATGGATATGATTCGAACCACAAAACCTCAAACGAGATGTCATTACAGAGTGAAGCAAGGCATGTAAAAAGCCAATGATCCAGATAGTAACAGTCATCTGAATACAGAGCTGGTTATTCATGATGACCGAATAGTGAAGTGGTTTGCAGATAGCCACAAAGCGGTCAAATGCCATCACTGGCAGCAGCAGGGCTTCTGTGCTACCCAGAAAGTGGAAGAAATGAAGCTGAGTTATGCATCCCAAAAAAGAAATTGTTTTGCTTGTGGAAAGGAAGTTCTCTAACATCTTTGGCACTGTCACAGTTGAGAAGCAAATATCTAGACTTGCTAGATTCCCCAGGAAGAAATACATAGGTGAGTGGAGTCTTGGATCTGAAATGATGATCATCAGGATGGCTCCATTCCCAGTTATATTGACAAAGTAGATGGTGAAGAAAATAGCAAAGAGAATGGGATTCAATTCTTGTATGTCTGTCACTCCCAGGAGGAGAAATTCAACGACTGAGGTTTGATTTGACATTACTTAAAGGAAAAGATGGGGAGAAACTCCCAGGGATCCACAAGGATGACTCCAGCTAAAACTCCTAGCAATAGTGGAGAGGGTACCTGAACTAGCCTTCTACTATAATCAGATCGGTGACTATCCTAATTGTCATCAGAGAGCCTTTATCCAGTAACTGATGGAAGCAGATGCAGAGATCCACAGCAAAGCACTGGACTGAGCTCCAGGAGTCCTCCTGAAGAAAGGGAAGACAGATTGTATGACCCAGGGGTATCAAGGTCATGATGGGGGAACCCCCAGAGACAGCTAATCTGAGTTCATGAGAGCACATGGACTCTGGACTAATAGTTAGGGAACCAGCATGGGGCCAACCTAGGCCCTCTGCATGTGTGTGACAGTTGTGTAACTTGGTCTACTTATAAGGCTCCTAGAAGTGAGATCAGGACCTGTCCCTGGTGCTTAGTGGCTTTTGGGAACCTGTTCCCCATGCTGGATTACCTTGCCCAGGCTTGATGCAGGGGAAGGAGCTTGGTCCTAACTCAAATTGATGTGCCATGTTTTGTTGAAGCCCATGGGAAGCCTGCCCCTTTCTGAATGGAGATGGAGGAGGAGGGGAGGGGGAGAGGGTAGATGGGAGTGGGAAGAAAGGGAACTGGAGGAGAGGAGGAAGGGGAAATGTGGTCAGTATGTAAAATAAATTAACAAAATACAAAAAATAAATTTATTTAAAATTAATAGAGGAGAAGAAATGACAGTTATTGCACAACACTACCATTCATGTACCAGTCTTTTTGGCCATGGATTTTCTTTACAAATCAAAGTATGTTGAGAGTAAGACATTGTTTTCCATGGCACTTTCTCAAATTTTTTGGTTCATCTACCCATTAATATGTTAAATAACAATTCTAAGTGTCTATTGTGAATTGTGATCAAATATCTTTTAATTTACTATGTTATCAATAATCATTTCTTTTTATTGAGTGATTTTTGAGTAGATCACTAGCCTACCATATTTTCTAGCTGCAAGCATTTACATTTTGAACCAATTCTCTTCTCATTTCTTAAGTTGGATCTAACAGGGAGCATCTTTTAAATACTCCACCAGGAAGACATCTCCTGGTGAGTAAAAAGACTTGAAAGTTTCCAACTTGAGGAGAATAGGAGCTGATGGACTCATCTCAACCACTGACACTTTAAAAAGAAAGATATCACCCAATAATTGACAAATGTTATTATATGAAATTAAAATATTCTGCACAGCAAAGATGCTATCAACGGACCCTACAGAATGGGAGAAAATATTCTCCAGCTATGCTTCAGGCAAAGGGTCAGTATCTAGAATATGTAAAGGATTGCAAAAGTTAACCACAAAAACAATCTCTACAAATCAATATGGACCAATTACCTAAACAGGCATTTCTCAGAAGAAAAGATACAAACAACCAATAAATATTTTTAAAATGTTCAATTTCAATCCCTATCAAGAAAATAGAAATTAAAATTCCTTCAAGACCTATCTCACTCCGGAAAAAATGGCCATCATTAAGAAAGCAGATGGTTTCAAATGCTAGTGAAGGATATTGGAGGGATGTAAACTGATGCAGCCACTATGGAAATCAGTCTGTTATTTCTAGAAAAATCAAAGAATCACCATGTGACCCAGACAAACTGATCCTGGGATATACACAAAGGATACTACATACTACTGCAAAGATACAGGCACATCCATGTTCATGTACTGTATTCATAATAGTCAGGAAAAGGAATCAGCCTAGATGCTTATCAAGTAACAACGAATAATGAAAATTCGATACATATAAACAATGATTTTACCCATCTGTAAAATAAAATGAAATTATGAACTTGCAAGAAAATATGTGGAACTAAAAATATGGTATTAAGCAAGGTAACCCAGACACAGAAAGACAAAAACCGTCTCTCTCTCTCTCTCTCTCTCTCTCTCTCTCTCTCTCTCTCTCTCTCTCTCTCTCTCTCTTTCTCTCTCAATTTGGTATTTTTGAGACAGGGTTTCTCTGTGTAGCCCTGGCTGTTCCTGGAACTCATTATGGAACTGAACCTGGAGATCCACCTCCCAAGTGCTGGGACTAATGGTATACACTATCACCACCTAGCACCATGTTCTCTCATATACAGTCCTAGCCTCTAATTATTAAATATGTGGAACCAAGTGGGTATGGACATGGGTAAAGAAAACCAGAAGGGGACCATGTGACTTAAAAATAAAAGCTTTAAAGTAAGGAGTATGAAAGACAATGGAACAATGTGGAAGGGAAGTACCAGGGACCAACAGGTACAACAGGAAGAAGAAGGGACAGGGAGAAGACAGGAGGTGGTGGGAGACAGAATCAACCAAAACGAAAGATGTATGAAAATCCCATGTGGAAACCCACTACCTTGTAAGCTAATTTAAAAATGTAATAACTAGTATTTTTAAATGTATAATAAAAATAAAAGGAAAACCAGCTTTTTAATGTAGTGGTAATTATAGTTTCTCTACTTAGAATGCAGAAAAAGTAGAAATGTTCTTGTATAGACTTGTTTTTCACCCAAAAGCCAAAAAGCATCATAGAGTGAAATGATCATATTAGCCACAGAGTCTGACAGTATTTATGCTTATTTTTACTACTGTATTTGATGTTGAACTTCATGTTCCTAAAATCTGAGCCATTAATTATTTTCAAATGGATTCCAGATGGTATGTGAGTGCATGTAGAAGCAATGGGTTGATATCAAACATCTTCCTCAGACTTGTTTTTCAAAACAGCATGTCCAACTGAATCTGGAGCTCCCCCATTCAGCTAGACTGACTTGACAGAGAGTTCCATAAATTTTCCTGCCTCTGCTTCTCCAGAACTGAGTTTACAAACACACATCACAACACCAGCTTTTTAACTGAGTGTTAGGGATCTGAACTTAGATCTTCATGCTAGAATAGCAAGCACTTAACAGATGGACACATTTTCCCCAGACCTCTTTTTTGTTTGTTTTTTGTTTGTATGTTTATTGGAAAATGGTCTCCATATACATATATGTTGACCTCAAATTTGCTTCAATCCTCCTGCCTTAGTCTCCAAGGCAGAGATTATAGTCCTGTGTTGCTATAACTGGCCGAAGTAACTTCTTGCATTATAAATTATGCGTTATTGTGCTTCTGGGCCCCTAGACACCCTGAGATTTGGTTTTGTTTTTTTAATCCCAGAGACCCTGGATCAAAACTGCTCTTCCTCTGTGAACTCAGCAATCCCTTCCTCATTTCAACAGAAAAACTGTCAAATACCCATGGCTTCAGCACCCTTGAAATCCTGTCTTCTCTTGTGGTCTTATATATTGGATCTTTTTTTCACTTACCTTAAAATAAGATCACTCCTCAGATATTACAGTGATTTTCCCCTTCTCTCTTCTAGCTCCATCAATGTAGCAATGGTAACTGTGCTCTCTTCTGTGACCCAGAATTCCATCTGCCTCATCACAGATTTCTCCCTAGATGTTGGAACTTTCCAGCTCTTCTTTCATCAAAAACATGTTTTATTTGTCTAGCTTTCTTTAAATACAATCTTTCTATTCCTTTCTTTCAAAGTCCTATTTTCTATGAGGAATGTATCCTTTTATTTTCAGTTGCATAATTAATAGTGTTTCTTTCAATGAAAGTAAAATCTTCAGTGATTATGAATAAATTAATTGTGAAAAAGTTTATTAATTGACTACACTTTCAAAGTTTTCTAAAAGAGTTTTTGAGTTATTGCTTTCTTCATTATTAGCAAAACACCTGAATTATCTCCCTGAGATACATTGTTCAGAGGAGACATAGCTGTGAGAAGAAGCTTCTTCCAATTCCTTTCATTTAAAGATGTGCTGGGTGCACTCTGTGTACAGAAGAGAAGAATCAGAATCAGTGTCGGGGGAGGGGGAACCCATGTTGCTGGGAGGCACTGAGAGAATCCCCAGGCTGCACATAGAGTTGGACAGAGACTGGCAGTGGGGTGATTCCTACAGATGGGACCCACTCAAGGAGTAAGAAATCACTAGAGGAAGAAAATAATTTGTGCAACTAGAGAAGCAAAATTAACAAACTGTGAAAACTTATAGATATCCTGAGGGATTCTGACATTTATAGCTGGGAGGCAGTCTGAGAAATCATGTAGTAACTAGTGTAATTCTGTGAAGGGTTGCTTTCAAACAATTCTGGTTAGCTTCTTTAGTGATCCATATTCAATGTGTTTATAAATACAACAGACATTTCTGTTTAAAATCAAGTCCCATGACAAAATTTATTTATAATTCTCTGGACCAGAAATCAAAATAGTATACATACGGGGGAAATAGTTACCTAACTATTCAGGAAAAGAATCAATGAAATTGCTCTATACAATCAGACCTGAATTGTTCACCACACTTTCAATATTTGGAGCTTGCAGATTTGGAGAATGTGTAGGGAACTGAGTACAGTGAAATTAGATGAGACATAGCAATGAAATACAGAAGCTGAAGAGCCTTTATAATACTCACACAGTGAGGAGTCTGTCAGATGAAAGGAAAACAGCCTTGACCCTGCCTATCAGTGTTTAATGTTGCCAACTGACAAACCACCCCTAAGAACAGGAAATTCTAGTCCTAATTCATTCTCTTACCTGACTGACTGCTAAAAACAAACACACAAACAGCAACAAAATGGTTTTCAGATGCATGTCCTGAAACTGCAGTCTGTGAAGTGTCTGAAGTGACAGTTCATGTTGTGAATCTGGCTGACAGTCTTCATCTAGAAAAACCTCTCTGCCATCCTGAAATTCTGCCGGTATTCTAAGGAGACCGAGTTGTAGGCATAAAATCCTGAGGGAGCATGTCCCTTGTGCTGAGCAGGATAGATGTGAAAATAAACAGGGCACTTTTTCCCACCTTCAATAGGGGAAATGTCCCTGGACAATTCTTCTATGTTCCTTTTGTTTTCTTTCTTCCAGGTTTTTTCCCTTTGTTCTTTAGTTTCCGATTCATGAACAACA